CTGTATCATCGCTTCAAGAGCTACGCTCCAAACCTGCTTTCCAACTGCTGCAGACATCTGAGAGCAATCCTTAGTCACTATGACGACAACAACAATAATATTATTAAAAATATTAATAATAACTCAGTAAAACTGAGCTTCCTTACCCTGTTTTGTTTTGTTCATTTTATTTCAATGACGTAAACAGTACAAAAGTTCACCTTGGAAAAAGAAAAGAAAAAATAAAATAATACCCAAAATAAAGCAAAAATGCTCTTCAGCATCGCTCCAGCTTTTCTGAGCTTTTCTGGAAGAAGCTCACTCTTATTTAATCAGTTTGTATTGATCCAACTTCCTTACTGACATAAACTGTGATGACAACAACATACGTCTCCCTAATAGCAGAATATATACACGATGTAAAATCCAGTGATTATACATTCAGCTCCATAACTTTACCTCCACACAAACTGAGTAACTCCACTTTTGGAAAGTTACTAGTAAACTCTGCAGCTCTGCCCACTGCAGTGACTCATGTCACATTTTTTACTGTGGTATTTGTGTTGCAGTGTTTGTTTAGTATTTCATGTCTTGATTTCTTTAATCATATTTTTCACAGTGAAATAAATTAAATAATTAAACCTCCCGTCCTTCGTTTGTCTCGTTCTTCTTCAGCCTGCAAGTCTGCAAACATCGACCTGGTGCTTCTGATCGACGGCTCAAAGAGTGTCCGCCCTCAAAACTTTGAGCTTGTCAAAAAGTTTGTTAACCAGGTTGGAAGTATTTTCTAACACACTGAGTATTTTACTGCCAAATTGCAGTATTATTTCACATGTCCATACCGGCACATGCAGGACGGTCACAGAATAAAACAATGCCATCAAATATGAATTACTGCAGGAGGAAGAAATCTTGTTTTGGCTCCAGAAATAATAAACAACTAAAACAACATGTCCTGGACATTCAGCAAAAAGATATTTTACATATTAAATCTTAGCTAGTGATACTTCTTGACATCTTTGTCTGATATCTTAAAAACTATCAAATAATGTTAAAATAATAAAATGCTGAATATTCATCACCTCACCTGGGTCCCTGCAGGTCGTCGACTCTCTGGACGTGTCTGCTCACGGTACCAGAGTCGGTCTGGTTCAGTACTCGAGCCGCGTCAGGACCGAGTTTCCCCTCAACATGTACCACACAGCTGATGAGATCAAAGCTGCAGTCATGAAGGTAGTGCTTCTGTTTGTTTGGTTGTTTGTTTGTTTGTTTGTTTGTTGTAGCCGTGACAGACAGTTTGAAACATCAAGCAGTGGAAGTAACTTAAACCTGCATTCTTGCTAATGGCCAGCAGGGGGCAGTTCTTGCTTCTTCCTAAAGAAGTCCAGCTGTAAAGTGAATGAGAGAAGTTATCCCGCTGATCTGTGACACACAGGTGGCGCCAGTATTGTGAGATTGTAATACTTATGTGACGCTTAAAGTCAACATAAAGATTCATGTACAGGCATATTTTACATATACATACAGACCCTCAGCAGTGAACTGCAGTTAATGAAATCCTGAATAAAAGATGAAACCTGCACCATGTTTGGGCCCTGCTCAAGTAACACGACTCGAAATGTTGTTACTGTCCATGTTCAGGTTGAATACATGGAGAAAGGTACGATGACCGGCCTGGCCCTGAAGCACATGCTGGAAAACAGCTTCTCTGAGGCAGAAGGCGCTCGTCCTCTGAGCCGCAACATTCCACGAATCGGGCTGGTTTTCACAGACGGGCGCTCCCAGGATGACATCACCGAGTACGCCAAGAAGGCCAAAGAAGCCGGTAAGACCCAGGATGATAATAACAGCATCTGTAGCTCAGTGTCTGAATCAAGCAGTGCAGCAGTTATCATGTGACCCAGCACCTGTGCATGTACGCAGGCATCACCATGTACGCGGTGGGTGTTGGAAAAGCGGTGGAAGATGAGCTCCGTGAGATCGCGTCTGAGCCTGTGGAGAAGCATTTCTATTACACCACTGACTTCACCGCCATCAGCACCATTGCTGAAAACCTCAAACTCAATGTCTGCCCAGGTAACATGCTCTGCTAGACCTGACCGCAGCGTGTAAAACAGCAAGTAAACAAACAAGTTAATCTGACAGCATATTATTGGTTCATATTCTGAGGCTTGCTTTCTGCCGCAGGAAGTGAAAAAGCTCTATCACCTTTTTTCTTTCCTGCAATGAATAAGCTAAGGTGGAAGTATAAAAAACTACCAATGTGAACTTCATGAGACTTATTAAAGAGATGAAGAATGTGCAAACAATGCATTAAATCCTGGCCTTGGGAGAGCGCTGTGTTTTTAATCCTCTTTAAGTTTTTAATATTTTTTTAATACTTAAATTGGTTTTAAACAGGAAAAACATCCTGAAAGTAAGAGAGGATCCTCCCCAAGAGGATAATTATATAAAAATCGGTGCTCTTTTTTTTTACTACTATGGTTTAAAAATCTTCTCTACTGAATCCCTCGGTTCATGCAGCTTATATATTGGTGAAGGTCATTGGTTGATTGCACAAATAAAGCACATTACAACCTTTTATACACTTAGAGAAGAGTTTTGTACCATAAACAGCTGAAATTGATAACATTCATCATTTTAATAACAAAAGATTTTGGTCAAAGCTTCAGCAGGACTTTCATGTGATGGTTTGTGTGGTTTTTACTGGTAATTCATTGTAACAATGTCTTTTCTTTGTCGCCCTCTGCTGACAGAATTACAACATGACAGTTGCAGAAAAAGAGCACTAAAAACAAAGCAGTTACAAAACATTTATCCTGAGTGTAATAATACTGTACCGAACATTAAATCCTCAGGTAAAAAAAAAAATAATAGTACTTTATTGGTTTAGCCTGTTTGGAGCTCTAAGTAGACATTAAAGCTAAACAGGTAAAAACTGCAGCACTTCATCGCATCTTATGAGCAATGTCTGCACCTTCAAGATAACTGAAATTAACACAATGTATATACAGATAAAGAATATTATATATATTTTTCCTTCTGCAGAGGAGAGTCAGGGCGAGATTGAGGTGAAGGACCCCTGTGCATGTGAAAGTCTGGTGGAGTTCCAGCAGGCCACTATGAACAGCCTGGAGCAGGTCACACAGAAACATATCCTTTAAAACAAAAACACATAATATCAGGTAATTCTGTACCTTCAGGTAAAGACGTCAGTGTCTTTGCATATTAAATCTCTTGTTATTGCTCTGGGTGTTCTTTTATTAACGTGATATCTGTTGTTTGTTTCCCTGTGACTTCGGCTTAGAAGCTGAAAGTTTTTGGGGTGCTCAGCATGCAGGTGACCCCACCCCCCTCTGCGCTCTCTGTACCAGCTTTTGCTTCTTCTGCTACATACAGAATACAGTGAGTGTGTATGTGTGCATGTTAAGTACTTATGATTCCTTAATGACGTGTCCACTGGCTGGGATGACCGCGCGCCTGGAACAGCTGGAGAACCAGCTTTTCTCCAGGAAGTGATCTGTTGACTTCTGAGCGAGCACAATGGGACGAAGAGGAAGAAGAACAAACTAAAGCTTGATTTATAGAACTGTGGTAAATCTACCCCATAGCTACAGCGTAGCCTCGCGTCCTAGCACAAAGCCTGAGAACAGGCTAACGTGTTTGGTCTGCTTGGTAGTAAACTGCTGTGTAATGGCAGTATTTTGATTCAGAAGAATAAAGTATCCCTGGAACTAAATTGAATCGGTTGTAATAATATTGAACTTGCTTAAAATGCAGTAGCTATATTCAGCCAAAGTAAGCACGCTGGTTTTTAGATTTGCTGTGACAAATTCAGGTTCAGACTCTAATCAGTTCTGAAATCTCCCGTCCTGCGTTTCTGTGGAAAGAGCTGTTGTTCAACATTTATTAGCTTCAAGACCAACGAAAGATCTCTGGGGAGATTGAACACAGGACGATAAATCAAGCTTTGAGAAGAGTTCGGCACATTCCGACAAACCAAATCCTCCAAATCAGCCTTCCTGGCAAAAGTGTCTCCACTCTACGACATTTTTCCAAGTAAAGGTGCTCTTATACAACAAACGGTCATAAAACACATGGATTTGATATTTCAGGTTCCCCATGACATCTGTTACCTCTGCCATTTTCTTTTTGGGGATATTTGTGTTTAACACAGTTTGCATAAAAAATGAACATCTGAAAAGTGAAGCTAATAGAGAATTGCCTTAAATCTACGCCTCACTTGATCTATGACCTCAGTTAACCCTCACATGATGAGTTCATGGTCAAAAAAACGAGTTTACTGTATGTAGTAAATATCAGCACGAACATGATTCAGTAAAAATCTGAATTTTCTCACACAGTGTTCATTCGTCGCCACCCATCATTCGCCTGTTCTTTATTTATACTTTGATCTCTTTTGTATGGTTTGTTAAATATGACGTGTTTATTACAGTTTGTTTTATTTTAATCAGCAGCAGAATGACAAAAAGTAATGAAGTGCTATTACCACTCTGAATATTAAAGTCCTTTGGGTCATTTTCAGTAAAGTCATTACGTGCTTGCATGTAGACGGTAGATTTTTATCTTAGGCCTAAATGGTTAAAAGTGGTGAAGAGAAAACTGAGGTGTAGTTTTAAAAAAAGGGAATTTTAGATGTTTAAATATCACTATTCACCGAGGCTGTGGTCGAGTAAAGTAAATGTGAGCGCAGTGCAGGAATCAGTGCACAGAAATGTACTATGAATGAAGAAAGGTCACCCTAAAGGAATATTAAAAAAACTGAATTACAGTCATAAAGTCACTCTGTAAATGAACCACCTGAAGATTGTGTTGAATGTCTGTGTCTTATAATATATAAACGACTGCCACAAATTTATACCCCTTTGTATTTGAATCCCTGTATTTTTTGTATATTTTATAACAGGTTTACATTTTTTGTATTTTTCTAAGGAGTCTCTGTATTACAGCACAGACGACAATAAAGGAGTGAACTTTCATTTATTTGATGGTGTCAGTGAACTCCTGCAAAAGTTTTTATGCTCTCATTTCTTATGTACATCTGTGCTCTCTAGATGCTCTCATGTTGCAAAGCCCAGCTGGTGGATCTAACCACTGCAATTAAACTACACCTCTAAAGTGTGTTTGAGGTGTTGGTGCTTACTGGAGCATTTCCGAGGCAGTTATCAGACAAATAGTATGCTTTACTGTGTTGTTGGTTCTTTACCAGAAAACAAGAAGGGAAGAAATCTGTGCTGCAGTTTAAGTGACTGAAAAGACGTCTAAATATGTGAGGAGCAGCTGTTCATTTGGATTGCAGTCATCCCCACAGATGGTTTTTATTTTGTTAAATTTCCCACCACTTGTTCCTCTCTAAGGTTTATGTAAGTGAGTAAAAGATAAATGCCCCAGGCATGTGCAGTGAGCAAAGCAAATCTGGGATGATACAGATTGGGATGGCCCAGGCATCTATCTTTTACCCCTTGCAGCTGGAAAAGGTAGTGGTGAGACTGCACGTCTTTGGAGCCGGAGTTGCAAGTTTGATTCCCACCCAGTATCCAGTAGGGGTCCTGGCTAGACCCCTCATGCTAACCAAAAAGCCCTGGAATGGCGTGGCTTTGTCTGCAGCCTGTCCTCAGCACAGACACGGATCATTTCACTACACATTGTACTGTATTGTATGATGTTGTATGTGACAAATAATAAAGCTTGTGTACACTGAAGCAGCAAACTGGAAACAACATTGACGGATCTTTAGACCTAAGCCTTTAATACTCTGTTCAAAAGAGTTACAGGAAGCCTTTGAAAACACATCAGGTGGGAAAAACGATCATACTGGATATCCACACTGATATGGACTAATCAAGTTTACCTAAATTTCATTGCAACAAGTTAAAATGGGACTCAGTAGTTTGTACGGAGCCCCACGTGTTTGTAGACCAGAGCATGCACTGAATGAGAAGCACACAAACCTCTGGTGATGGTACACTGATGTGTCGTCCTGAAGGAGGTGGACTAACTAAGCAACCTCTGCGGGGTCCAGGCATCGCCTCATGCCATCAGCACTGACCCTGACCCTACTGAAGAAACAGTCAGAAGACCTGCTCAACCTCCATCATCAGGCACTTCCACCGCAGGTCCCGGTCACCTGCACCTCCAGCAAGCTCAGCAATCATCTACCCAGTAACTTCCATTAACCTTCCTGTCGTGTTTGGGTCAAAATTAAAAAAGTCATAAATATTGTGTTTTACATCTGACTGCCTCGAGGCCTGAGGTCATCCTCCACACTGTGCACTTGAACATATGAAAGTGATGAGCACCTCCTTCGTTGAATTTTGAGTGTTTTAATAAACTTTGTTACATCTGTGCTGGTCGAAAGTGACCACCATAGAAAATGAATGGAAATGGGAAACTGAATTTGGTGATGAAAAAATGTTTCTTATGTTAATTTAAGAGTTGTTCAAACTGACCGGGAACACTAAAGTAAGGGGGGCGGGGGGTGAACA